GGATAGATAAATACATGCCTTATATGCCTTATATACAATACAGCTTGTACAACACATACATAGGTTGGGAACTTTTGCAGCACGTTCCGGGTGTTGCTGGTTTGTTGTTCTTGATCAAAAGACTGCATTTGGGTGAGCATTTGGTATCATTAGCCACCAGTCGCTGCTAGTCCAGTCTGGCAGCAGCCGAAGGCTTCCACTGAAGATCCTTCACTCAAAGTAAAGTGGGAAAGGCTTGCCTGGAGTCTCCATGACCCTTGAAAACTGTGGTCACTACCCAAAATAATGGGGTCATGGACCCATTTTTAAAGAGTCATGGAGACTCCGGGTATCCATATCCGCCACGTCGGGCCGAGCGCTGAGTCGGAGTGGCCGCGTCTTCAAATTCGCTTCGCCGGGATGCGCCATGGGGCCGGAACGGAGGCCAAGAAGTCTCTCTCGGAGGAACTGAGGAGCTTGAAATGTAAATCGCTGGGTCAACCAAAACGGGTCCACCATGGAGAGAAGCTCCAGAAGGAAATGGCAAGGATTCGAATCCTCAAAGCAAAGAGCAACCAGGAAGGTCCTCGGTGCTTTCTGCCTTTTTGCCAGGGTCGTTGCAGCTTCGTGGGCGGTGTCTATTCTGAGGGTACCCTTTTTGAAATTTAAGAGATACACCAAAGGTACACCACCGTTCTTGAGGAACTTACTTAGAGACAAGCTGTTTCGACTGAACCGCAACCAGGAACAAGACAAGGAGTTTGCAATGTGGCACTCATTTGCTTTTGCATGAGTGAGAGCGATTTGTTCTGTCCCTGTGCTGTTGCGCTCTTGCGCAATTCTATGGAGTCCAGACAGAATGGCGACGGCTGCAATGCATTTATGCTAGCCTGCATAGTTGCGGAGTGCAGCAGTGCCAGTGTTTAATATTGTTTCCTTTTGGCACATGCTGGGGGAAAAAAGCTTTGCGGAAGGGAATCACTGGGCTTGGCTGGTCACCCTCACATTTGCTCAACTGCCCTGAGCGTCGAATCATCTTTCTGAGCTCACTGATTATTGAAGTTTGTCACCCAGGGCGAGTACCTGATTGCCTCACAAGAAGTTGGCACCTGCATTTGCTGCTGGCCCCGACTCCTGGGTGTGCGTTCAAAGTGAAAAAGGGGTGAACCCCAAAAATGGGTTTCCCTCCTCACCAACCAGTGGGGGGATCCCCAAATGTGGGTGGTTTTCCTTTGGTTCCCTGCAGAGCAACCTTTTAAACAGCATGCCCGGCGTCTCCATGACCCTTTAAAAATGGGCCCTTGACCCCATTCTTTGGGGTAATGAACCCTGTTTTTAAAGGGTCATGAAGACTCCAGGTGGAAGTTTGGTTCTGGATGGCCCAGAACCCCAGAACCCGCGCGCAGGCAATCGCGAAGCTTGGGAACCACAGCGCGCCGAGCCAGGCAATCGCTCCGTGGGGCGGTGAATTGGATCTCTGAAAACTGACCGATTTCCAGTTGCCCAGTGGTGCCAATTCTGTTTTACTTTTGTTTTGGTAAGGGTTCCGATTCCTTTAAACTCAACCAACAAAGACAGGGTGCCCTTTTTTCCCATGGCCACTGGGCATCTGAGAACCGAAAGGGCAACCCAAGAGCACATGAACTCGCCTCCTGAGTTCATGGACTCGCCAATCCACTCAGGAAGTGAGTGCTTTGTGTCGTTGCACAAAAGCCACGGAGTCTTGTGAACCGTGGACTGTCAATGGCTGGTGTCACAATTTCAGATTGATCCACGACGGGCTTGGGGCTACAGCCAGCAGTGAAGGCATCTTATCAACACCAAGCATAATAGATTGAAGTAAACTGTGGGAACCCCAGCCGTCCCAATAGGTTTTGTCTTTTTAGTGTTTAGTGGGGATTTCCGCTTAACCTACTAGAAGTTAAACTGAGGACGGCCCAGATTACTGTATGTGGTGTTTGTGTCTGATGATGTGACGCAGAACTGTCCTGTTTCCAAATCAATCAATTTTTCTGCACTCATGCAGGCACATACCACACGCGCAGAGACACATGCGGGTAAACTATGCTGGCACTGTGGGTTACAGCGACCCTCGTTGGATACAATTACCCTCTTGCCTTCTCGACTTGCGAGGAGAGCAAATGCCGCTTTCGGGTCAAGCCATTCTTCACATGCCGCCAAGGATGTTTCGGTGATCCCTTATTGCCCCGGCGTAAGATCATGTTTCCAGTCACAGCTGTCCATTTGTGCGTGTTTGTTTCGAGGGTACTTTCTTTGGTAGGTTTTCAGGAGGCCAACAGAACAACCGACCAATTTTGATCGTCCAAATGCCTACTGTGGATGGACGGAATCCTGCACCACCCAAGAAACACTGGAATGATGGTTCTCCTGTAAATGGAAACAAACAATGGGTTCCCATGGTTTCAAAGTGGTGCGAACGGATTTCGTCCATCCACAGTATTTGGAGACATACCCACTGAAGCCATTTTCGCCTTCCGGGACCTTCACTGGAGACTTTTTGCCGCCGGTCAGCGCCAGGTGCAAGCCAAGGCCATGTTCCGGACCGCCGAGGCGGGATGTGCCTGGAGTCTCCGGATCTGACCCGAATCAAAAATGGGTCCATGACCATGATTTTGGGTAATGACCAACCAATATGTTGGGTATTGACCAACAATTTTTAAAGGGTCATGGAGACACCAGGTATTTTTGTTTTTTCTTTGCGTCGCGGGTTTCGACCGGATTTGACCAGATTTGGAGCATTAGACCTCCTGCTTTCAAGTGCTCAGTACACTTTCCTGTTGGAGTGGTTTTGTGAACACCCTTCCGTGATGGGTGTTGTGCTTGTTTTAAAGAAGCTTCTTGGCCACATTGTCGAGGATAGCCCATCAAGCTCTTGTGACTGATCGTGAGTGCGAGCCACGGGTGCATGCGTCCGACACTGAGTGGTGCTCCCTTTTTTTAGGGTTTCCTCCATTTCAGTTTTAACCTCGAAAAGTGGCAGTTCGAGTGGAAACTCAGTGAAACCTGCTGTTGTGGAAGGGGTTGGTGGCCCTTTCTTGCCCCATGGCCACTGAAGAAATGAGCCGCCTTTTTTGAAGTTGGTTGGGAAACCAAAAGGACACCTTTGGGGGGGTTCCCCCCTTTTTTGACACATACCCATGTACCTTGAGGTAAGATTAAAGCTTGCTGCCAGGAGCGTGCTCAACTATGGCAGGAGCGCAAGCAGGACTTTCTACTGTCCCAAAGCTGTTGATGGCGTGGGACCTAACTGACAGGTGCCACTAATCGCATCGCGTGTTTGACCTTTTCCAAAGCCAACTGTGCAAGCTTTCGAACTTGGCTTGTTGTCTTTGTTTTGTGGTGACTGGAACCAACATCAAAGCTCAAACTGTTCAAACTCGGGATTTGAACCAGTAGGTGATAGCTGATTGAGAGTCAGGCGCATGTTTCAACAGCCTCGCATCATGCAAGCATATATGTATATATCCATATATACTGACCCATTTGACAAGCACAGACATTTTGTAGATGTTTGCCCTGGGGTGAGCAACGCGCGACCACAATTTCTTTTGTTTCATACATCTACTGGAGTCTCTATGACCCTTTAAAAATGGGTTCATGACCCCATTATTTTGGGTAATGACAAAACTTGTTTGAGGGTTATGGAGACTCTAGGCATAGAGTCGCCCGTCTGAATTGAATGGCTGTCGTGGCAGGAGTTGCGCGGCCGCCTTTGACTCGCCGCGCCGGCAACCGGTGGAAAAAGGAGCCGTTTTGGGTCAGTGCACAGCGCATACCTGGAGTCTCCATGGCCCTTTAAAAATGGGTCCACGACCCCATGGGTATTGACCCCATTTTTTCAGCGTCATGGAGACTCCAGGAAGATGTCCAGCAGATGTTGATTTCTGGTGGTAACCGCCAGAAAGCCACAAAAGACCGGGCGAAGATTGCTGGTGATCGAAGGGAGCTATATGAACCCCTAGAGAACCGTATGAACCGCATATTTGGCTGCGGGGTGCAACCAGGATCGGAAAGGATAGCCCTTTACATCGTGATTTAGGGCCCGCCATGTTTAGTTGTGTTCGTCTTTGTTTGTGTGTGTGTGTTCTGTGTCCAGTTTCCAACGAATGCATCTGACGCATGATTGGCAATTCCGTTGAACATGTACGTTGTGCCGCTCTTCAAGGTAAACCATGTTCAACCACCTAGCTAGTACAGTTGCTGCTTTTTTCAGTCCCTGTTGCTGGTTTTTGGGATGAAGTGCATGGAGAAAACAAAGCAACTGGCGATCCAGGCACCGGATTTTCCCATCTTGAAGTCAAACGTTATGGAAAAAAATCCCATCTTGAAGCACCACTCTCCGCCTCAAAGCTCACCTCCGTGAAAATCCAACGATCTTGGTGAGGCGTGCCTAAATACACATGGATGAACGGATTCTGGTGTTCTACGCTTGCAAAGTATTTTTCCCCTTTTCTGGACATGTGCAAGAACTAAACCATATGTAAGCTCGATTTGACTTTTCCTAGTGCAGGGGGCTGCTAAACCACGACCCAAAAAAGAACTACAACAAGAAACAACCGATACGGTATAGAGTCCCACTCTATTGGGAAGCTCCTGAATAAGGCTCCTAAAATATCATTTCAAGGCTCCTTTCTTCCAAATAGGATGTTGATTAAACAACATGTTGAGCAAACAATGAACAAATCAATCATAATGTCGATGCACAGTGAGGTTTCAAAGAGGAATTATGTCCAAACACGATGTTCATCTTAATATCGGATGGGACACAAAACAGACAGGAATGATTTGCAAAAGGTGGATCATGAGGGGGACTGAGGATATAGATATACACATATATATATATATATACATGCATATAAATATATATATAGAGATACATAATATATACAGGCACACATACACACATACATACAGACCTACATGCATGCAATATACATAAGTATATACATAACATGCATTTCCCGCTCCATACCATGTAGGCGACCAAGTGGTTTTCTGAGGTCCAGCTCTCTGTCGGTGCCCGGCTCTGCGGTGCTGCGGCAGCGCCTCGGATCGAAAGCCTCAGATCCGACGCCGAAGGGGGGGCTATTGAGGGGGGCCCCATGGCAAAGGATGAGCCTAGGAGAAGCCAAAGAGAAGCCCAGGATTGGCTTGAAGTGATCTGCCCTCTTCCATAGAATTTGTGCAAATACCCATCCAAAACAAGTTGTTAGTGTGGAATGCCCTGTTTGGCTGGTTTCTTCGAATGATCTTGCTGGTGCGATAGGTAGGGAAGGAGAAATGGAATGTCCCGGATATATACTTGGTGGTTTCATGTGGTTTCCTTCAAGGGGACTGCTGGGTTCATTCCCACATTCCCTGAACATCAGCAGTGTTTTCCGTTTTGAGGAAAAGGTTTTGGGCCGACTCAATGAACCAATGAACCCAATCAATGTACATAGCCATAGCCTTTATTGCGAGCTCACCGATTCGGGGGGAATTGCTTGGGGATCCTATCATTCAAGTTTTTGAATTTTGCTGAGACTGGTAGATTGGTTGCCACCAGAGAGGAACACAATACAGCCAACCAAACAACCAGCGAAAAGACCAAGCAACCAAGCAACCAACTAACCAAGCAACAAGCAAGCAAACAAGCAACCAACCAAGCAAGCCAGCAACCAAGCAAACAAGCAAGCAACCAAGCAAGCAAGCAACCAAGCAACTAAGCCTGGGGTCCAAACCACCGTTAACAAACATGGTTCATATAAGCATCCATCGTTTACCTAAGGGTTCTCATCCAAATGGGGTCAACCATTCTTTCCTAAAGGGGTTGAAATTTAGGCTTGGATGTTCAGCTTACTTGTTAAGTAGGTTACAACCATGGTTTCGAGGCAGCCAACCCCGTTTGTCCCATCCATAGCAATGGGAATGTTAACTCCGAGTCAGAGAAGCCCCTGATTGGTGCGCCCTCAGGATTAATCCGAGGTTTACATGACATGAATCAAACAAGCTTATTAGAATAAAATGTGATTTCATCAGAATCATGATGGTTTAAGCTTTTGATCAACAAAGTAAGTCCATGAATGAGTTCATTATAGCTGATGAATTGGCTACTGCGGTGGAAGCCCTGCTTTGTCCTATGGGGATCGATTGGGAGACTCTGGAATTTCGTCTTTTTGGCTTTCGCTCAACGGACTCGCCAAGGGTCTTAGTTATTTGATCTCATCATTTGGGTCTGTCTTTTCGGGAGGCACCCTTGAGGGGGCTTGTAAAAGGAAACCCAAAAGGACGACTACCATTTTGAATGAGCACCAACACGAAGCCATACCAAATGGCCCTAATTTTCTACTGCAGATTCTATACTCTTAGCTAAGCGTCAGAAAAGGAAGTTGGGCGGTCTACTTGGACCCAAGTTCACCGAATTGGTTCCATTCGGTTTGGTCATTGTGAGACCACCTTGGAGTCATACCGCCTTGTTTGCGGGTACTTGCGATTGCTAGCTTTTTCATCATTTGCTGTCTTGTTTTTTTTGTTTGGCCTCCGTTAGATGGTGTATGGGAAGGAAAGGACACCGGGTACCCTTTTCAGGTTGGTTCAAAGGAAAACGAACTGGAAACCCGAAAGCCCCTTTGACACACACACACACACACACGCATGCATGCATGCATGGCTCCAAGTTCACATGCAAGTTGTGGATTGCAAGCTGAAACCTCGCCTTTGCTCGGCTCAGCTTTGGGCCCGGCTCGTTTTAAAGCGACGCAGCTCGCGTCAAAAGGACCAGCTCTCATCTGATGTTTTCGGGTCCGCTCCGTCGGTTTGGCGCATTTTCCGGTGTTCTGTTCCTCCTGTAGGGCTCAGAGGTCGAGAGCTGCGTTCCTTTAGATTTCCAGGCGTTCACATCGCCTGGGCCAGGGCGGGAGAGCTTTCGGCGTGACGTTTTTGCAGCGGATCAGAACTTCCCAGCGGTTTTTTTGTTGCTCCGGCTTCTCATGGCTCACCGCCAGGTTTTCAGAAGCACAGGTCAAAGATGACTCACTCGGATTTTTGTTGACGGCAGGTTTGTGCTCTTGTGCAACTCTGTTTCTATCGATGGAGAAAGAGTTGGCAAACATCTTGGCAAGCAGCCGGGTGCGAACCATGAAAGGCTTTGGAGTCATTGATGTTTGAGCTTGAGGTTGTGCCCGAGGTCGTGAAAAACGAACGCCCATCCAATTTAGATTAAACGAATCACTACATTGCAGAGGCCTTGCCCAAGGCTTGCATGATTTTCAGATGGAGCTTGTCACCAAGTCGGCTCTTGCTGCATTTGCTCCAGCGCCTTTCCCAATCCTAAATATGATTTCCCAATGAGGCTGAATAGGTACTTATTTTCACCGGGCCAACAAGAAGAGACTCATTTGGGGGTAAACAAGCTTGTCCACGACTCACGATGAAGTTTCCTGACTTGGGGATTTGTTGTTTCCTTGCGAACTATAGTAGTTTGTCTAGCACTTCTTGCTCCCCCACCAACCACTTGTACTCTTAGGTACAGCGCCCCCGTGTCAGTGAGGACCCGGACAGCAGTTCGTGCAACGGCGAATCACAGGCATGTGATTTCAGGGGAAAGGAACCGAGTCCTATGCTTCCCGTACCCTCCAAAGCATGGAAGAGCACTGGCTCTGGTTGTTTGCATGTTTTTTTTGTTGTTGGAAGGGAGTCAGTGCAGGAGGTAATTTGTTGGATTTGCTTCAGGCGTTTGAGCCAGCGTGCATTGGTTCCCTTTGGCAGTTAGAATCGGTTCATGTCAAAGTGTGCATTTCTTGGAGGGAACCATTTTGTGTGGGGGTGGTTTTAAAAGGGGACCAGGAGGACACATCTGCGCCATTCTCTGCATGGACTCCACCGCAACGGAAGCTTCCGCTTCCCGGGGCCCAGAGCCAGGGCTTAGGAAAGTCATTTCGGTTCTTGCAGGTGAATAATGTCAGGGAACCATGGCCACGTGGCACTTGGTGGCCCGTTTGTTTAATGAGGATACCCTGAAATAGGATGTGATTTGAAGGGAAACCAAAAGACAAACCACCATTTTCGGGTCCCCTCAAAAAGAGACGCCCGTATTGGCAATTGTACTAGCAGTATTGGCAGCGCCTGCCAACATGAAATTGAGATAGAACAAGTTTGGTGTTTATCCTTCTGGGTGCCTAAAAGAGTTGGGCTTGTTCTTCGGGTATTAATGCCTTGGCTCAACAATCCTGGGACATGTTCGGGGGGCCATCATATGCGTTCTCGGGAGGTGTGGTCGGGGCTTGTCAGAAAGTGTCAGAACCGTTGGGCCTCCAAAGTTCTGAAGTCCCAAGTTTTTTTTTTTTTTTTTTTGCGAATGTTTGCAAACCCGACCTTTGGGTGTGCAGGTGCTGCGGGGACATGTTGTGAAATGGTTGACATTTTAAGGTTCACTAAATAGAACGGATACTTTTTAGGTGTGGCAAAAGCAGAGGCCATGGTTCAGTGAACCTGTTCCTCTTCTGGGGCAGGACCCTTCCGCCGCGGCTGGTGGCAGGCACCGAAGAGATCCGGGGATGTCACATTCAACAGAGCAGATCTAAGGGTTTAGATATATTCAATTGGTTGTGTGTCAAAATAGAGGGGACCTAAAAATGTTTGGCTCCCTTCTGCCGTGCAAATGGCGCCCTGAAAAGAACACCCAGATGGGATCGGGAGGTCAGCGGACCTGGCTTTCTCAATTTTAGCATGCATGTTTCAGAGGGCAGTTCCTTCGGGAGTCTCCGTCAGAGTTTCAGTGGCTTCAAAGAGATTTATGGCGTTGCTCGACAAAAGCAGCAACGTGCCATCCAGCCAGCAGTCACCTAGGTAAGTTGAGTTGCTTTCTCAACTGGTGGTGGATTTCGCCAGAGCTAGCATGGCTGCAGCATTCATGTTCTTGTGTCTACGTCGATCAGAAGCGCTGTGTAAAGCGGGGCTGCTAAGAAGGCGGTTTTTCAACCAGATTCTGTCAGACTCAAGATGAGGCGAGGCTACGACATGAATTTGCAGACTGGAACACAAGACCGGATAGCCGTGTCCTATCCATAGGATGTTGTTCCTTGCTTGTCTATGTAGTCAGTTCAGTCGTTGTGTGTGTGTGTTGTGGGTTGTTCGCCACTTAACGCCAGTGTTTGCTTTGCTGCTCTGGTTTAGAGTTGAGTTGCTTCCACATATGCATGTATATATGCATACGCGCACGCACTGTCCCAGAGAGGAGCAGTACACACAGCTATGATCTAACCTTCACTGCCAGCCCTCGACTCTGACATGCGCGCAGTGCGTGCAATTTGTACTTTGCACAAATTAGCATGCTGAGAACCGTGCCAAGAAAATTCACACCAGCATGTCACCCTGATCTCAAAGGCGCGTTTGACATCATGTCACAACCTTTGCATCGCAGTTACACAGAGGGTCGTCTTGGATAATTATCCTCCCGCACTTAACAAGTGAGTAATAACCATGGTTATAACCCACAACAGCCATGGTAAGTCTCCGTTCAGTGGGTTAAGGCCTAAGCACTACGTGCCGAATCGGTCGCCGCTTTCCTTCTCTTGCCACAAGACCTCAATCTTGGACCTAGGCTATCCAAGTGTCGTGCGCAGCCCAGCCGGGAGTAGCTTCGGGAGCTTCGGGAGCGAGAGGGTTTTGAGGTCATGCCGCCGGGATTTTGGTGACGCCACTTTGAAAGAATCTGTTTCTTGCATGAGAGTCATATCTGCAATGATGTCTGTAGCTTTTTGCCCGATTTCTCAGGGAGATATGTGGTTGTGGCTCAAAATAGGAGGCTAGTTGATTTTGGGAAACCCAAGGGCACCTAACCTTTTGTTGGGTCCCCTACGTTTTTTCAGACACACCTCGTCTGTTTGCTGGCAGTATGCATTTGATTGCTAGCCCCGTTCAGATGAATCACGTCGTTTGGCTTGAGGTGCACATCCCGATGTTCAGTTTTTCTGGTGTATCTGGAACCCTGGTCGCCAGATATGCCTCAGAATCGTTTGAAGGCAACCAATTCATTTTTTGGGTTTCCTTCTTTGATTCCCTTTTTATAGCCCAAAAGGGCAGTCGGCCAGAATTTCACACGGCCATGGAGGCAATAGTCATTCAGGGCTACCAACAAAGGTGGATGTGAAACGATGTTAACACGGAAATCTCCAGGAAGCCACCAATGCTTCAAGGCTGCCTGAGTATAGTTCCCAGCGATTGCATTGCCCGCGTTGCCTGTCTTCCCACATGGAAGTAGGTTTCATTTAAACAACTGGAGGGGCTTCCGAAAGGAAAGCTTTCGTCATCCCAAAACCTCCAATCGTCACAAGGGAGTTGACTTTTGGGACCTGAGGCACCTCCTCCCGCGCAAGTGGCGACGACCGTGGTGGGTGCCATACCCAGCGTGGGTCTGTTTTTGTTGAGGCTACCCTTTTGGGATGGTAGAGGGAAACCAAAAGGAAACCACCCATTTTGTGGCGTCCCCTATTTTGAGGCAACCCCAGTCGACTATGCAAATCTTGATGCTTGCTGCTGCTGTCATGGCGTGGTAACTGTGCAATTGTCGCCTTTTGGCAGGCTGGCCGTATCCAGCAGGCAGGGCATGTCCGACAGCCTTGGGGCGGTTTTTTTCACAGGCAAGCGTTCCTTTGGAGTTTTTCCGCATCAGACACACTGACCTAACAGGGATGTCCAGGTGCCTGTACCATGCTCTGTGTTTGGATCAGTTGGCTGCGAAAACCAACATTCGGCTCCCCATGATAGGAAGTCCAAGAGACTGTTTTTGCTTCTTGGTGTTTCTGTGTAACTGGACAAGATGGCGCGGGTGCCCCGTGTTTCATCGTGTCCCAAGCATTACACCTGAGTGATTTGGTAGTTCAATTCCCTTGATAAGAGAACACCAATAAATGGAATTGTTGGTTGCAGGGAAATTCGGACAGCTTGCTTCTACCTGGAGGCTCCATCCCATTTTTGATTCGGGTCAGAAGGAGACTCCAGGTAGACATGTTCCCGGCTTCGCTTCTTGGGGCTGGACATTCCACAGTGAGGTTCATGGCTCTCGGCTCAGTCACCTGCCAGGTGCTGAGCAGGGTGCTGAATAGCCCAGGTTTTTGGTTTGCTTTGCCCAAAAGAGAACCAGCAGGGCATGCCTGGAGTCTCCATGACCCTTGAAAAATGGCTCCATGACCTATATTATTTTTTGGGGGGGGTAATGACCAACCATTTTCAAAGGGTCATGGAGACTCCAGGTGGGTCTTGTTGATCCCTGAGCCCAGGACGCGGTTTTGCGTTTCGTCGCAACTCGCAGTTTGCCCGAGTTGCTTCTGTCTGGGGCGACTCTTCCAGCCATGGGAAACTCGAACGCGGGGCTGCTTGGCTGCTGTGTGAGCCTTGGCCGATGGTAGCCATGCTCGGTTTTCCAGAACCCGACATGGTGCACTTGGGTGCGCTTTTGTTGGGGATGATTTTTGTCCCAAAGCCAAACCACCATTTCGGGGAGTGCCCTGAAACGAGACACACCCACTAAGGGTAGTTCAAGAGCCTTCCATTCTACGTGTGCTTGCTTGTTTGAACAGGTTCACCGCTTTCCGATTTCGGATCAATCTTGTTTGGATGTTGCTCAGAGTGTGTTCGGACGGACCAGGAATCTGCTGAGTTCGCCAAGCTTGCGCGTTTCGGTCCCTCTACGTATAGCCTACCAGGCAAGTGAGGCAGGGCATCGACCACCAATGCACAGTGCTCAAACGGCCCAGCCACCAATCAGCAGCTCCTGAAGCCATGTTTATCGTTGCAGTCTTATTTGCGCTGCCACGCTTTCCCTGGATAGCTGTTGTCCAATCAAGCTTCCGCTGGCGCAGAGCCCAATCAACCTGCACCGGTGCACAAAAGGAGCATCTCTGATCGACTTTGTCGTGTTGGTATCTTGCACACGCTATCAGATGCAGACCCAAACACACGCGCACACAGTGAGACAACGCCTTCACCAAGGTTGTGCGTCTATGAGGAGACAATCCTATATTGCTGGCATTTGCTTGGGAATATGTTCGAATTTCCCCTGTTATCACTACTGGAACTATGTGTATTTGTTCCGGGGAGCTCAAGCAATTGATGGAAGATTGCTAGTTTACGGTCCCGGGATTTGCTGGGTTCGGTAGCCTTCGGCCAGCGCTGCTTGCAGCTGGCGTGCAAGGAGAGCAGGATTCAAGGCACACATTATGTTTTTGTTGCGTGTAGCGGTCCTGTCAACTCGGGTTAATTTTGGCTTCCTGGGCGACCCTAGACCGGCCTGAGGACGGTCGTCGGTGCACAAGTGTTGTGATGGCTTTTATTTGAGCCCAAATCCTACCCCGTATTTGTTGAATCTGTCCGTCAGCTTCTGAATCTGTGTTTCTGTTGTCGAGCTCAGCATTTGCTGGAAAGCTCACAAGCTGAGATCTGCAGAAGGACGCTAAGAAACCTTATACGTACCTTGTGGGGATGTGCTCTGACTTTGGGCCCTTGGGGTGACCTAGGCTATGCACAAACTGCACTGAGGAATGACCACCGGGTGGAGACGAAGCTCTCAGCCCTGCCCGCGCAAAAGAAGCTGAGACCTTTGCTCTGCGACCTGGAGGCGACTCTCTCCGCGAGTCGGTCGAAAGCTGCGGTCATGTGTTAATGATTTTTGATGTGTCCTTTCGAATTTCATGTGAGCCACGTGCTCAAAACCCGGGTAGATGGTTAGGTTAGTAAGGGACAATCCCCTTGCCATAAATAGCTTCGGATTTCCGCCATCTTAGTTCTTGAAGCATGGTGCTGGGTAGACCATTTTAATACCGGGTTTTGATTATGACTCACATGGGGATAGGTAATGTTTTAATGTGTCCAGACCTCCCAGAGAAGTCAACAAGTTTGGCAGTGACAGAAGTGTTTTGTTAAATCTGTCTATTCAACAGATTTAGCAGGGAAGCGGCGGAAATGTTTCCTGCACACGCCCGAGCTGCACTCTTGATACTGGCTCAGCTTTTGGCCTGATTCAACAATCAACCATGGCAACCAAGTCTGCGTGGGCAAATTGGAACGAGCCCTGGCTCGGCATGATGAAGGTTTGTGGTTGGGGACCCTTTGTTTCAGTGGGTTTGTTTATTCGTATTTTGCCCAGATCGAGCTGAATCTGCGAACGGATGGTCCCAATTCTCTCGGCAGGCACAATTCCACAAGTTCGCCGGCGCTGACAAGGCGTTGGACGAGAAGGAGCTGGCAGAAATCTGGATCAAGGCACAGACAAAACGGGCGTAGAGTCGACAGCTGAAGGAACTGATGCTATGTGTTCTGCTCGCCGGTGTTGCATTATAGGCAAAGGGAAAAGAGACAACAGAATGATTTCAGATACCTTGAGTACGCAGTACCGTGAGAAGAAGTCAGTCTTCTTTTTACCACTGAAGAGGTTGTCTGCACTTTCATCGACTGCTGTCTTAAGTGTTTCCGCCAGAGAATTGAAACTCTGTGCCTTGAGGCGAGTTTGATCCTGGTACCGTCGTAAGGTGGCGCAGCCATTAAACAAGCTGCATTTTAGGTCCCTTGGAAAAGTGAGGATCAAATCATGACGACCATGGCATGAAACTGATTCTGTGCAAACGCGTCTCTTCGCTTCCGGTAGCGGCTGCAGGCGGCTGAAGTGAAAGTAGGCAGGATGGGCTGCCTTACGACCGTTCGGCCAAACAGGCCTCAGTCGTTAATAAATGCGTGCGTTTTGGTTTTGGGACCCCCCCAAAAATAGCAATACTATTAATAGTATTAAACATAATAATGATCATATCACAATAATACGGTTTTCCTTTTGGTGCCTGTTTAAAGCCAGTAAACAAGGGGCACTGGAGGAAGCTGAGCTTTGAGCAACGGTCATAGGTGTCCTTTTAAGGTTAGGTTGGTTGATATAATCGAGTTTTAATCCATTTACCAGGGCCTTCTATTTTCAAAAAAAGGCCACCTATGACAACCCTCATGTCCACACTTCCCAAATTATGTACAGTACACGGTTTTCACCCACCCCCAAGGGTGCCTTTGTCAGGCGGTCCTGAAGAGTCTCTCCCGAAGTAGCTGAGTTTCAAGCCAGACCCATTCCTTCAGTCTCCATCCAACCCCAAAAAGACGTGGTTGGTCATCTACCCAAAAAAAACACAAATCCACGGTCATACTGTGGGTGGACAAAATCCTGCACCACTTTGAAAGCATGGTTGAAGCCATGGTTGTTTGGTTGCAGTCGAATCATTATTCCGGGTTTCTGACCGGTGCAGGATTTTGGCCATCGGGCGTACTCGACTGGACTGTGCCAGGCAAGGTTTCGGAAGAGGAGGCCAAGTTCATTGCGCAGAGCACCAAGGCGCGGCGGATCGGAGCCATTCATCTCCGATTGGTTTGGAACCCACTAGGGTTGGCCTTTTGTTGATTTCCCTTCATTTCCTACCTGTCGAAGCAAGTAGAACAAACCGGAACCTATAGAGCCTATATCGGGCTTCAGCCCAATTCGGGAAAAGTTGAATTTTGGAACAGAATGGGGAACTAAGGCTCTACGGGCCAAACTCCCCGTTCTGTTTGTGGTATCGTTCTCTTTGCAAACATCGTTCTGTTCGGTTTGGACAGGGTTCAAACGTAGACGCCCGCTCGATTTAAGGCCTTTGTTTCCGGGGGTGGGGGGGAGGTTGCTGGCGCTCTCCCAGGTGTTCGTGAGGCCCCCTTGCCCTATTGGCAAAAACATGTCGTTTTGCATCCATGTTAGGGAAATTGTTGGAATAGCTAGCAGGAGTGGCTAAGGTGACAATAGACATTTGGCAGGTCCTTGTTCCTCCCCTCACAAACGGTATGTCATGTTTCCCCTCAGAAAAGAGGGTCAAGCTGGGCGCCTCCCAGATCGAAGCAACAAAGCTTTATGTGAAACAACTTGTTTGCTAGAAAACACTTAATTGTTGTCTTTTTGGGCAGGACCCAAGATCCGAGATTGCACGGAAAAGTGTGTTGGGAATATCTATATCATGTCAGCCCCCAAAAAATGTCTGGTTTTGGACACAGCCACAATGTTGCGCAACATTTCCGAGGCTCTCAGCGTGGTTCGCACATATTGTGCAGAAAACATGCTGCGCGTGATGGGCGTCATTTTCACAGAATGGCTAGCAAGAGTCCAACAAACAAGTTAAAGCAGCCAGAAAGACACAAGACAACAAAACACAGAAGCCGACGCATGTTGGCAGTGGGATTGTCTTCTTGTTGTCTGGTCCATTGCAATGTTTGCCAACATGTTTTACAAGACGGGGATATGTTACGCAACATTTCCGCTGCACCAGAAAACACGAACAACCAACAAAAACAGTCCTACCCCCACCATGGCTGGAATGTTTCATTCTTGCGATTTCCCCACAAAATGACAGCTGTTGGACACAGCCGCACATGTTGCGCAACAGTTGGCAAAAGGCTCCGCAACATGTTTCACATAATGCTCAACATTCCCACCGAACTACGGACCGAAAAAAACAACACATAACAATAGCCAATCCTACCCCAACCATGGCTGGAATGTTCTTTTTTTGTGTGTTGTATTTTGGTTGTGTCGTTTGGATTCT